ACGTCCAGAAGCGATTCCATGCATGCGCTCGAATGCTTTACAACTTCGGCATGGGACAAACGGTATCTTCCCCCACCGTCATGATCTCCGAGATGAACCCGCACGAAGACTTGATGAAGTTCTTGCATGAGGCGATGATCATCTTCAACGGGAATCCAGGTTTCCAGAAGGAGATCTCGTTCTTCGGAGGGATCAGGTTGTCATCAACAATGACGGAGAACTTCTTCAAAACGAGGAGAGGACCCAGCATCCATGTGGAAAAGCAGATAGTCGGCAGAGCCATGTACTACCAGGGATCTTATGACCTTGGCAACGTGTGCTACACCAAATACCTCAAGACCATATTGGAGCCCGATGTATTCCGCACTATATTCGGAGACGATCCCACAGAGGAACGGGTAGGTGACATGGTGGAAGCACTGCTGGGCATGCTCGAAGTTGCTCAACTCTTCAAGCACCTGTTCAAGGGATGGGGTGACATTGAAGCTTTGAGGACGGGATTAGAAGAATCCATCAAGCGCGTCACTGCATCGCTGTACGACAGGACAACGTATGAGAACCGAAAGCGATCGACGATCAGGACCTTGGATCCGCACTCTGAAGAGGCGGCAAACGTGGCACTGATTCTCGTTCGCATGAGGACCATGCCGCCTCCTGAATTCGACATCGACCACTTCTTCGAAATCGGGAAAGAACCAGAACAAGGAACAGAGGCTACTGACCAGCCCGAGGCCGAAGGTGTCGATATGGAGACTGAATTTGAACAGGAGAAGGAGGAGCAAGACGTTGACATGTCCGACCCGAAGACATCAATACTGCAAGCCATCGACGAATTTGAGGAGAAGATCGGGCAAGCAGAATTCTGCATCCACTGCATGAAGTCGGGACACACAACTCTCAATTGCGAGAAGACCCCTTCATCCTCACCTACAGTCACCTCAGTGTTGAGTGATTGGAAGAAGAGAGTGAAGGGAGAGGTTGCACCCGACGATGCACCATCTGGACATCCAACCGAGGAGCCTAAGAAGAAGAAGCAGAGAGCATCGCCTACTCCAGATAGGAAGGTCGACAGCGAGTTCAGGCGAAAAGAGATGTTGAAAGCAAGAGTCGTGACAATGTTTGACCATGACGGATTCACCTTGATCGAAAGTGCTGATGGAGTCGAAGGAGGGACACATTCCTACAATGTGCGGAAGCTTGCGGAAGTGGGCCCTAGGGATATGAGGGTGGTGTACGAGTTCGTAGAGAAGGCATTCGTGCACTCCAGCTCCCTCAAACCAAGGGCATGTCATCACTTCTATCCCCTACCGACACGGAGGGAGAAGGGATACAAGCCGATCGACCCCATGACGATGGTCGGGAAAGTCGAACTAGTACCGATCAACGGAGTCACATTCGCTGCAACGAACTCCGACTATGGCAACCACAAGTATCCGACTCCATACTGTCGAGTACCTGAATACAGCCAAGCGAGCCAAGCCCTGAGTCGTCGATTGGGAGCGAAGTTGAGACATCGAATTGGACGCCAGTTCAGGACAGGTGGGAGACTCACACCAATCAAATGCGATGAAGGCGCATGGGTGTCGTGGGAAGATCTGTTGGGTGATAATGCAGTTTGGGAAGACGGTTATCACTACGGCAACGTAGATACCGTGACCAAGAAGGCGCGTGTGGAGAAGTTCTTCGACCAGAACTATGAGTGTTTCCGCATAACCAAGAGGATCAGATTCCAAATGTTGGCGGTCCGCGTTCGTCCTGATGAACTCAATGACCCTGATGACCCGATGGAAAAGGAATGGATTGACGAACTCAAGGGCATGGGAATCTCCAAAGGAAGACTCCACAACAGCAATGGATGGTGCTTTCCCGTGGCCGTAAGAGCAACCTCAGCACACTCATCGGACGGCGGAGGTTATGACGTCACCATCAACATCGACCACATTGGATCGAGAATGACCAACGACATGGCCCTATCCATGGTGACTGCATTTCACGCTACCAATCTTGGAGCGCTGACTTCAATCATGCGACGAGGGCTAGTGCCAGGAGGTCTCGGTTCATCGGGAAGGGATTCTATCCACTTCACATGTTTTCCGCCATGGGCCTGGGAGCAGGGCTACAAGGGAAAACCTTGGCTGGGTCGTAAGGTCGCATTGAGTGATCGCCCAGTGGTTCTCTACATTCCGGTGTGGAAGCTACAGGAGTACGGACTTCTCATCTCAGCGACTGGCTCTCTATTGGTCGAGAACGTCGTTCCCTTCGATGAGGTTAAAGGGGCATGGTTGCAATGCGACAATGCGGAACCCGGAAAGCCTGAGGAGATCGAATGGATCAGGTTACTCAATAGGGAACCCGACCCTGGAAGCTACCTTGTTCTGGAGTCCAAATACGGAAACCCGATCATGATCCCACGCTTTCAGAAGCTTGAGAGTTTAGCGGTTGAAGTTCAGGACGATACCTACTCCGAGGACGACGCCAAAATCTCAAAACTATTGGGTATGATCGAGGAGAGTGGCGTACACCCAGAATATGATAGCACCGAGTGGCAGGAAATCTTTGAAGAGATCGTGTACCGCCGGGCAATGAAAGACTATGACTCAAGGCCGTGTCCTAACTGTCTTGGCGAAGTCGATGTGCGGTTGACAGTATGTCCGCACTGCGTAGCGGTTTTGATCGCGAATGGGAAACTCACGCATGTGGTACCCAAGGAGACAAGAGACCGCAATCAACGATCACCTCCGAAGGATGTCCCAGCCAGTTCTTCTGGTGAAGCAACTTCTGCTGCAGGTGCAAACATCGACGAAGTCATCAAGAAGGCACGCAAGACAGCCGAAGAGGTCATTGACGTCGAGGAATCCGAAGGAGAGGAAGAGGAGGAAGTTCCTATCATTTTGAAGGAACGACCGGATGAAGCTGAAGGCGAACCCGAATATCGGGAGGTCCCTCAAGATGGATACGGGAATGAACTTCCGCAGCCTTTCCCCTTCGCGATTGACGAACTGCCACAAGAAGCTGCGATCCCCATCGACCACAACTTTGCAGTCACACAGCAGTTCGATCTGAGGTTGATGAAGTTGATCAAAAGCTTGGCCAACGCGACGTTCGACATCAACTGTTTTGAGAGTCGTGAAGACGTACTGCGAAGGTTCGACGATGGACAGCGGCATGACACTCCATACAATAGATGGCCAATAGTACCGAATGATCCGGATACTGGGTTTCCAAGACGTCTCAAGAGAGCCGAGGTCGTAAACATGAGCAAATGGACCAACGACACGTTTGCAACAGAAGCGTGGCAGATCTATGAGTTCCACGCCCACGTTGTTCACCCGATGATGATCACTGCAATCCGCTGCGGGCTTAGCCACAAGTACCTCAAGGAGGTCGGCAGCACTCGGCGTAACATGAGTGATCCAAAGGCTCGGAGGTCTGAGACCCAGGAAGAGATCGTCGAGAAGCTGGCATTCATCTCAAACTTCATCAGACGCTTGATCAGGAAGACCTTCGGAGCGAGCCGATATAGCTACTACCAGAAACCAGATGACGAAAGTGCCGCTCCATACAAATTCATTGACATTAGCCCCGCCATCAAGTCGGAGCGGAAGAATGTCACGAAGGAGATCCTCGTTGCATGCCGCTACTATGGCATAGAGGTATCCGATATTCAAGCGCAGAAATTGAAGCTCTTCGAGAACCAGATCCGAGCGGGAAATCCGAGGAACGTCGAGCTCATCAAGGACTACATTGGCTTTGTCGGCGCTGACTACATGCGGCAACTCACGAATGGTTGAGCATTGGGGTCATACCGACATGCCACTTTTGGTACTTCACGTACTGAGGGATCTTGGGTAATTCATGATGACCATTTTGGCATCATGGGAGTGAGATAGGATTGTGTTTCACACCGTTGGTAATCGCATGATACCATCGGTAGGTGCACGTTTTCCGTTTGTAGCTCCATCACCTGTTTGATCCAGCTTTCAGGCAAATGCAAGATCTTTTGCCCATTCAATTCAATAGGACATACTGGTTGACCTCCAATACACTTTTGAGAACATGATTCGTTCTCCGGTTTTTACATCCACTCATCTCCCTTCCCCGTCGAAGTACGGATGTGGGGGGTGTCAATAGGGATGAGGTCCCAGTATAGTTGTTATATAGGTACTTGCCATACCATTTTGGCTCAAGTGCCCAACCAGGTAAAAAGGAGCTTTAGCGCGCGAGCTTCATGTTGAACTAAGGGCTAGAACGGGGCCAGGGCACACCTTTCCATCCGTTCGCAATATATATATCATGTCAAATAAGATGTATACAAAGATGTATATGTATATATATGTACACACATGCATTGTTTTCAGACAGGATACCCGTATGCATTATAAGACCTTTACAGGGTTCACAGCACAACTAACGTCCCCTGGTTTGTGGGACAAGACGTCGACATTCACAACAGCTGTATTTGTGGGATATCCTCATACAATCTCATATGTGTACTTCATCCCTCAAATACGCTCTGGTAATTCTAGTGTTCTGATGTGTTATGAATGTTATCTGGCAGGCTTTGCACTACCAAATGTCAAAAGGCCATGCCGCAACACGTTGGGAATCACCAGAAGGATACATACATACATAAATACATACATACATACATATATATGATCTTGTATGACAATTCCAAGTGGGAGTCTGTTGCTTTGCAAGTGTTGGCTAGAAGAGAAGCTGTGAACGCCTGTGAAGGTGTTGACCTTGTTATCCCTTGTCATGTCTGTTCATCAACATCCATTGCCATGTTTGTGTCCTTTATGAAACTAACAAGATCATCATCACCCTACTCACGATCACCGTCCTCACTTGCATCCGCCTCTCTACCATCATCAATACATCTAGAGCCACTTGCGCAGCTTAAAGTAGATGTATACTGCATACTGTATAAGTAGTATAAGTATAAATATACCGTCAACTTTGGTGGAAAAAGCCAGTGTCCCAAAGACGACGAACCGATGAGTCTGGCAAAGCAGAAGATCAGGGCGAAGATTCGTGTGCAGACGATCTTTGCAGAGCTTTTGGTGTGGAGCCCCGTGAAACAAACGTGCTGACCACGTCGCAGCTAATGAGCGGCCACAGCTAGTGGTTTCCACTTTGGGGGCATTGGCCGAGACCCAGCTCAGGAACTAGAGAAAACAAACATAGTGTGACAGCGTTTGAGTTGCCACAAACTGCTCTCAGCCAGACAGAGCCAGAGGATAGTGATAGTTGTTCTTTCTCACGAAGTCCAGACATTCGTGAGGCAATTGGTCGAAGTCGTGTGTGAAGGGAATAGAGAAGTCAACTATGGTTTTGCTTTTCCACCGACCAAGGGGCAGGGGTGTCCCAAGGGTAGAAATTATAGACAATGACAATGATGCACATCACTCACTCCATGTGAGACCCGCACAAATCCATCGGGTGTTTGCATATGTTATTGTTGCCTTTTGTTTGACTGGAAGCTTGTCTTGCTCACACAATATGTGGCACAATCAAGCAGCACATCAACGGGCGTTTCACAAGTATTTACACATAGTATGTCCAGTAGTATGTCCATATGTGTCCTTGTTCCTGGTTCCCATGCTCTATATAAAACATTGAACCAGCACGCACACAAAGAACTGATGATGCAAAACTCATTTGTAGCAAATCGTCCTGAAGCAGATAAAACCATCATTTTTCCAAGCACCCCCGAAGCACCTTGTGTTGGCTGTTTGCAGGTCACAAGCCCTGCGCCAGCAAAAACCTCTGAGGCGAGTGAGTGAAGGGATCAAGGGGGGATTTGTCTTTGAGATATGGAGAAATGACGGTCGAAACCTCCGTTTGCAGGAGTTTGGCATGAAACAAATGCCGCCTGAAATTCCCGGCTGTGGGAGTAGAATCCTGGACCAAATCTTGGAAACACATTGCTGCGAATGCATCCTTCTGAACCCCACATGTACTAATTGGGGTTGAAACTCGAGTTCCAAAAGCAGGGATAATTGAACTGCTTGTGACATTTTGCGACTACTTGCTCTGGGGCAACCTAGGGGTTAACCGACCTGAACCAAATGTTTTTGCATAAGACCAATGAAGGACAAACATTTGTATACTATCCATTTTCGGGGATCAGTAGATTTTGACATATATCGACCTATCTTCCCCTTCGGAAGTCGAAGATGAACTATTTACTAGGCTATCTTCTGAAGCATGAAGGTAACCGCCTCCAGATTGACACCATCCCGCACAGTGCGAGGAATCCCAACAAGTTTCTATGGGCATTTGTACGCATTTGTGGTGTTCCAGATCATAGTTTCCAGATCATAGAACAATTAGCCAATTGCATAGAAACCATCCTCAGAACTTCGGGTTCAAATTCCACTGATCACCCGATCGTCCAGGTGGGCGGAGAGGCCCTCAAGTTGGCGCAGACAGACCGGCCGCTGCCAAAGCCCGGGGGTCTAAGGACAACGGCAGAGCAGGGCAAGTGATTCGAGTGTTTTTTGCACCACCTGAGAAGATGAAGAGATGCCAGATTGTGGCCCCGTAGCAATGCCAATTAGAAGGATATCAAATCCATTGATTGATAGCAACTTGTAACCTAAACTCTGAGTTTCTTAAATAGTCAAAGGCTTCAGGATTGAGAGCCTTTCTCTATATATGGACTTTATCAAGTCGTGTTTTCAAAGGGGCCCGCCTGAATGGGAAGAGAACGGCTCCCCTGACCACCAGCCCGAATGTCATCAGGTCGCACCTCCCCATCCCACTGGGTTTGTCACAAACAGAACGTCAAAAAGAATACCAACTAAACGACTGTAACTGGTCCAAGTGTCCTCCCCTTCAGTTTCAGTGGATGGCGTACCTTCCAGGTCCTGTAACTTCAATACTTATTGTACTGCAGAGCAGTCAATTTGGTGCATTGAACCTGAACATACTGTGTTGTCCTTGAGGATCTCCACAGAAAAGACCCTACGGTACCAAAAACCAGAAATCTCGCCCATGGCTCATTTGGTGCCATGGTCACTATCAAACGACAGTTGCAGCCTGAGGAGCTGCTCAAAGTTCACAACACTGGATTGCCACGTTGAGGATGAATCATGTCCAGAAAGAAGAAACATGTTTCCACAAGGTCGTTGTCATTCTCCCCGTGTTGATGGGTAAGACTCCTCCAAGACGAGCGCAGCTGAGGTACTTCGCCACAGCGGCTCCCAAGCTTCAGAGCCTCGGCTGAATCGTGTGGGGGTCGAAGCTGCACTGGGTTGAGGGATGAACACTTAACCTGGTCTACGGATGTCTACGGAGATGTTGCATGATAACATTCTTACTGTATGCATTCTTATATAATCATTAATATATTACTGTGTATTACTGATATATATAATTTGACATGTTGTATGCTTGCAGCACATGCTCTAACAGATGAACATCCATATACGAGCCAATATTGCATCGAATGAAAAGGAGGGTGTCTAGAAGCCACTCGTGCAAGGGAGAAGAGACAACCAACCCATTGGGCGTTTGTACATTTTGAGATTTGAGAAAACCCCTTACAGGATCTTTGGGGTTTCAGTTCTGGGTCAACTGGACTCGAGGAGGAAGACTGGGAGTTATTGAAGGTCTTGTAGCTCCCCAGCAAAGTCTTCAGATAAATGTGTGGACTCTGGGTATGTGAACAAGGCAAGCTGCGTGCGAAAGTCGCACAGCCCCTGGTTTGCCCATTCCGAGCCTCGAAATCGATCCCCTGGCCGCTCTTTAGGGGATATCAACTCTCAACTCACTCTGCCTAAAGTGATTTCAACCTCAAGATTCTGAATGCACCCAATGTGCTGTTGGCAGAGCCACCACGATCACCGCCGCGATCCACCCACCATAGCCACCCACCGCGATCGTCAAGGACGGTGGAGGCTGTGGACAAAGCCGCACAAGATGGTGGAGTCCTTGGGACAAAGAGAGCCTCAAGGGTTGACACGGAACTCGAGAGTTTGAAGGTGTTTCCGCTTGGGAAAGACCAGGAATCCAGGACGTTGGTGGCTTTTGCTTTAATGAATTCGGTTTCCATGTGAGCCGGCCCATTCTGCTGGTGGGAGGCTTTTGTTTCATAGCACAGGCAAGCAGCTTCCAATGCAAAAAGGCACACATTGAGGTATCACAGCTCGGAGATCTGTGTATTGATGGTATCATATCAAATCATATCCATACAAACTCTGAAAGCTTTGGATGTGGCCCACTAGTGACAGGTCTAAACGCCGCCAGCGTTTCTTGCGACAAAAGCTTTTTGATCGGACTGATTTGGCACTTGGAGCTGGTGAGGTGGATCCCAGGAGCAAAGAGATCTGCTGGCACCAGAGTTGTGTGGCCCGGAGCCGAGTTGGACATCTTGAGACTCGAGTCGACAGGTTTTGAGCGATTGGAGCGATAAGGAGAGGGCATGAAGAGATAGGAACTGAAAAGAGCTTGGAGACTGGAGAAGGGATGAGAAGTGTGTTGTTTCATTAACAGAGGCGTCCACCAAGTGCAGATTGGTGGGTGCTCCACAACAGACAACCCTCGGTAAAGGTATGGATGTACATTGGAAGTACAACATGCCAACGCATTCATTGGCTCTAGGTGCACACGCTTGAGCTTGCAAGCTGGAGAAAAGGTTCTGAGAACAGAGGGCCAAAGGCCCAAAGACCACATGAAGGACCTTTGATATTCCATAGCAAATCCAGAGGACCCCTGGCAATTGGCTCATTTGACTCGTTTGACCAATGCTGGCACTAGGTGATCCCAACCAAACGATCTGCATTCTTAAGAATTTCAACAAGTTGTACACGATGTTGTGTATATATAAATTAAGGTTAAAGTGAGATTGTCATTGCTTCGATCCCATGAATGTCCTCTAAGTACTTTTCATACTTGAAACAATTTCCTGTACCTTTCTTTCTTCTTTTGCTGGCCACTGATAACGCGTCAGCGAGCACCGGGCTCGTGCCCGAGGCGACTTCTTTCTACTGTGCATGGCACTGAAACGACATCCGCAGCCTCCCACCGAGGAGGAGTGCCCGACAGTTGGTCTTCGGAGCGAGCAAGGAAACATGATCAACTCCACGGAGCATAAGTGTATCAGGGGATTATGGACCCCACCCCAGGCTCACCTGCCCAAACAATCCCAAACAGGGATAATTGGACTGGCATCAATAACGTCGCATCCTCTCGTACGTAGTCCCAGCTCGCACAAACTCATATGGAAGTTTTGTGCTAGGTGTAGTTGGACAGTCCCTCAAGACCTACAGGACATATCGGAAAGCAAGTCGGAAAGCAGTATTGGTGCCGGAAGCGCATGTAGGATGCGAACTTGGACCTGGCAGCGGCCAACCGGCTCTTCGAGCTCTCGCCCGAGGCCTCACCTCCAGCCCATGGGGAGGTCGAAGATCTCGGCCGGTGGTTTGGAGGTCTTGCAAACAAGGCCCTAACATGACTTTAAATAGCTTGCAGCTTGCCTCATCATGCCCAGCTTGTCCAACTGACAACAGATGTGGACTTTCATACTTTCACTGCCAGTTTTGTTTGGCTTCCAATATGTTCGTCTTATTTCAATTTGGAACATCTGGCAGGGGAAATCTCAAGTTACTGTAGATGATCCAAAGAGCCAGAGAGTCGCGAGAGCCTACGTCCGTGTGTGACTGCTTCCCTCCTTCCCACTGTGCCGGACGCAGCGTCGGTTCAAGACGGATGACAGGCCTCCGCAGCCTCCTTGGAGCAAATGGCCAAGTTGGCAGAGCAAATCCTCGCGCAGGGATGTGAAGAGCCGCGCACTCGGTGTTGAATTTTATGGGTAGTGACAGCTGGTGAGAGGGTGATTGTGGCGGTGGATGGAGGGGTGGATCTTTTAAGTGATGCTGGTTTTGGTGTCGGGGTGCCAGGATGGTGTTGGCATGTATTGGGTTCAGCTTGGAGAGATGCTCGACAACTTGTGACCAGAGTTCCAATAGTTCCAGGTGTTCACACTGCTGGACCGAAGGTCACTGAAGTATGAAAACTCCAGAGTGATCAAAGTTGGGACAGAGACCATTTTGGTGTGAAATTGCGGGCTCACGGTACCTGGTGCTGGGTGTGGCATGGGTCCTTCAATTGACATCAGAACGCAGGTCAGAGACCTGGAAATGGACAGGTGTTCTGCCAAGTAGGACAGTAGGACTGATTCAAACAGCTAAGACCAAAATCTAAAGTCAAATCGACAACAACTTATCATGGGTCTAGGGATCGACGAATGGTGGACCCTAGAGTCATCTAGAGTCCCAGGAGGATGTCACATGGCACCGTGCTTGTTTCTAGGCTGCAAAGCCCTCCCTTTCTGCGTGCCATCATGGTAATGTACGCCCTGAGCTCGGGCTGTTGGGGCCGTGCTTGGTGGGCTTCAAAGTCCACCAAGGTGGGCAAAAACATTGCTTTTTGTTTATGTGAATTTGGCTGACCCCATTGCCAGGCTTTGAGCAAGCTGGAATTTCCAAGGATCTTGCAGAATCGTGGAGCAACATACAGAAGCAAATTGGGTTGGGGCATTGCTTGGGTCCTAGGAAGGGTATTGATTAAACGATAGAGGGAAATGATGTGATATGATTGCTGTGAAACTGCAGCTTGAAGCAAGAAAACAATCACAACACAAGGCCAATCGTTTGAGATACTCTCCAAGGGTCAAGTGAACTCAGCTATTTGCTTGAAGTGTTCAACAGCATGTTGTTTTGGACGTGTGTATAGATAGAAAGGCGAGCTCTGATGGACAATCGTGTAAGGAAGCAACCAAGCAATTGAGGTCCACATCTGTCCAACCCCCGGGGAAGAGGGCCATCGTTCCATTGCTTCGGGGGGTTGTTCAGTTGAACTCTCGAAGTGTAGAACTTCAGATTTGCTTATCACCCCGAAGTGCAATTGACGCTCCGACTTGTTTTGACACATTGTTGTAGTTGGAATATGTGGGAGAGCCTCAAGTGTTGATGCCCAAACCATCCTAAACCACCATGTTTGGGTAGTGCTACTGGTGGACATGGTAAACGGATGTAAACTGCATAAACTGCAAACCTTTGTACAGCAAATAGGGATCAGTAGGACTCTTGCTGCTGCTTGGGATCAGTAGCAAGTAATTTGTACAGCAAACGTGCTGCTGCTAGAAGCATCTCGCAGAAAGAGTCCAATGGGATTCAACACTTACATCAAGTGACATACGCTGCTATCACTACCAAAGTCTTTTTGAGTAATGATCACTCCCAAAGCACTCCACCTGTGATATCCACAAACAAACAAAGAAGCTACTAGTAACAAAGGGCATCGCTACTAGGAGCAAGGACGCTACTAGGGGCTCCTGGCCGTACTACTAGGAGCAAGGACCCTACTAGTAACTAGAAGCTACTAGGGGCTCCTGGCACATGGTGTGGCCCATGATGTGGTGCAGGTTGGCCCATCCTGGCTTGGGAGAGCCCGGTGACTTTGAGGTCGGGCAACGAGCGCACCTCAAGCTCGGTGGGTTTGAGGTTTCGATCTCCCAGAAGCCATCGAACTCACTGGAGTTCAGCAGCCCAACTTTTCTCGATCAAACATGCAGCGAGGTCGAACTGAATGCTCAATGAATCTCACGAAATATGTCCAAGATCGTCCAAGAGTAAGAGGCTCTAGTAGTGGGTGATGGAGCGTGAAGGCACGGATTGCATTAGCAGCTTACAGGGGATGTGGATACTGAGCAACAACACAATGAGTCATGGAGGGATTGTCAAATGTGCAAATGTTTAGGGTCAGCCGTTGAATTGGATGGGGTTGTTCAGAAAAGAGATTGGTTGGATTCTTTCGGGAACAGACCGTTTTGACTGTCTATCATATGACATGATTTCTTTGGGTTTTTGTTGGCTTGTAAGGGTCTATCGAGGCTCTTGATCTAAGCTTGGTTGAACTCCAATATGGATGCAGAATGATATATATATAGTATATTGTAATATGATATGCAGTAATATATGTTGTTGTTGGGCCAGGTTCAATGTTGCCAAAAGATGACTCTGATAATTCCATTACAATTAGCATCACTTGCTTTGGAATTCTCGAGGTGTTCCAACATCTATTTTGGTTCAATGATATGGTACTTACTTTTTGCAACGAACTGCAGGGTCAGGGACATCAGTAACACCACATTAGGAGCTGCAATCCATGACTTGCAGTGAGTGTTTAGATGTGCTTAGGAATGTGGGGACAGTCCAAGACATTTCAATCATAGTGAGCTTTCCACCACACATCCCTCACAGCACTCCGCTGAAACTGCACTGCAATGTTCCGGAGGCCTTGAAGAAGATCCTCCGACTGCTGGGTCAGCTGCAACGCCTGAAACCAGCAAAGGCGAATCATGCAGATCGTGTGCATCGCATGTCGCTGGTCGCCTTTGAATGCTGTGGTTGGACATGGTGGACTAGCAGCAGAAAGAAAGGTGGCCAGTGCTGTTCGAAACATGGATATGTTGGAGGTTTTTGTACCAGCAGATTGGGTGCAGATCCTGTTGGGTGTGGACTCCATTGCACAGAGACACCTGCATCAGAGCGTCTCTTTCAGACCAGACCAGAGACACCTGCATCAGGAGACCCTTGTGAAGTGGTTTAGCCAGCTGCCTTTGACCGTTGCTTAGCTGCAGACTCTAGGAAGATGCCTGATGGCCTACCCAGTCAGGGGATAACCTTTATATGTAATTATATAGATAATCCTTTATAGTAACAAGAAGCTACTAGGGGCTCCAGGCATCGCTACTCGGAACTGGCATCGCTACTAGGAACAAGAAGCTACTGGGGGCTCCTGGCCTTATTACTAGGAGCTAGGAGCATTCTTACTACTATTAACATCATCGGTTTCCCCACTAAAATCCAACAGGTGCAACAAGCTCAACCTTTGTTTTCCAAGGAAACTGACGGGGTCAGATGTTGGTGTGATTGGGTTAGGCTACCTGGATGAACCAAGAAGACATGATAAGCGTGTGTCAAAGTAGGTGCTCAAAAGACCTTAGGCCAGTGCATAGAATCCCAATGCTTTTCTTTCAGCTGTTACAACTCATTTCGGTCATTTTGTCAAACTCTGAAATAGTCTTTGCCCAAAACAACATGACCTCAAACGCGCCCATGTTTGAGACTTATGGGCCATAACCGAAGCCTGCAAAGAGTTTAGCAGGCATCTTCGGTGGTGCACGAGAACTCTTCCTTTGACTACTCAGTTCAGTTGCAAATGCTTTTAGTCAGATCGTTTTGTTCAAACAAGCCAAGTGAACAGGATGTCATATCGTGTATATATATATACATCATATTGTTGCGTTTATTGGGGTTGTTTGGTCTCTCCAGTCTGAGAAGCTGTTCTGGATTGTTTTGGTTAGTTCGGTCGTAGTGACTTCAGACAACTTCGTTGATGGCATACAACGGTAATAAGATTGCCCAAGAAGCGCTTCAAAAGGAACGGTCAATGTGTTCCTGTGATCTATGAGGTCCTTGACCGGCAATCGTCCAACAAATTGAGATTGAACGAACCTTGGCACAACCGCAGATGTCAACCTACCGATGTCCAGCCAATCCCAGGTGTTGGAGGGCCGGCTGGGCCAGGCGAGAACAACAGCAACGAAGGGAGCACCGAAATGATGCGTTCCCAATCTCAAAGACGAACTTCCGAGATGATGAGTTCACCAGGTGTCCTTTTATTTGCAGCATGCTTGTAGAGATGTTTATACAATTTCTGGCACTCATTGCCATCATTCGTGTTGTTTGCTCCTTTTGTTGTGCTCCATTTTGAGCATCCTCGAGTCATTGTGTTGCATGAAAAAACCATTTGTACGCGCCAGATGCAGCAGTTTATCACGCTCTCGCTGCTAGAAGCGCAGGCACCACCTGGGTCAACAGTGATTGTGTAGAGTGTAGGGTCGATTGTGTAGGGTAGACATGAAACTTATAGTCACAGCCTTGGTCAATGATTTCTGGCATAGACGGAATCAATGATTCTGTGTCGTGCTGATTTGTTGCATCATGGTTTCTCTCAACAAACTGAACCTGTCAGATTCCGTTGACCGCAAACAAAAAGCAAAGTGACTTGGGCCTGCAAGACCTGACATTGTTCAGTGTTATTTAGCTTAGCCACATCAAATCGCTTGGGGACTTGGCAGATTTGCAGGGTGAAGGCTTCTCCAACCTTGACGATGTCATCGCCACATCCTGAGTGGATTCTGACGGGCGCTGACGGGTCTGACCAGGTCTCGCTCCTGAGGAAGCTTCCTTGACTTGGCCCTCAACTCTTGTCGATGCTTGGAACATGTTCATTCCGAAAAGAGACAAGAATAACAAGATCATCATTGAATTTATAAGTGTTTAACAAACAAGAAACCAAATGAAACCAAACACCTCAAACACCATCCGAATCAGAACTTGTTTGAATGTTTGTCACCTTTGCACCATCCAACGTTTGCCATCACCTCTGTGAGGCCGTGGCCCAAAAGGACGGCCTGGCGAGGCGGGTTTTTGCAGAGGGCGGAGGTTAGGTGTTCAAAGGGCGAGGTAGTGCAACTTCACTGCTGGGGCTTGCAATGTTGTAGCACCTTTGAACGTTTGAAGTTGGGCAGTTGCAACAGTGGCCGCAGAAGTGGTTTGTTTTGTGATTTATATGTGTCAGATCACAGTGCTTTTCATCCTGGTGCGCGTCGAACAACAAAGCTACATGTTGAATGTTATCCACAAAGAAATTACATGCTCGAATTGAAATGACTGAGATTCATGCGGTGTCAGCAAAACAAAAGCTTTGCTTTGGGGTTTCATCCGTTCAAGGATTCTTTCCTGGCCTGCCAGGCACGTGCGGAATGCCCTGCGGATGATGGACATTTGCTGGGGATTCTTGAATGCAAGAATGCTTTGAGCCTGAATGTTGTGTTTGCCTTCTCGCTGTGGGATAACTGTTTGTGCAAAGCGCAAGCGTTTTTGTGACTGTTTGTGCAGACAGAACAATGGCAAGCGTGGCGTACTTGACCCCAGTTCCCAAATCTAGGAGTCTCACAAAAGTAGGAGTCTTTTGATTGGTTGTGTTTGTACATGAATGAACACGAAGCCAGTATACAGTATACGCAATGAAATGTAATGAAGTACTACTACTTAAGCCCCCACTGGTGCCCGGCAACCAGATTCAGTCCTTCCAGTTCTTCCTTGGCTTGGCAGAGTTCTAGTGGAAAAGTCGCCGCTGATGGTCCCAATACTCGTTCCGGTGTCCCTCATGCTACAACAACTGTGTGGGTGTGTTTTTTGGGGAGACTGGCCATCAAAAGGAAAACCAAATGAGACCGACGATTGCTTTTACCACAAAGTGAGAGAATGCAGCAGATCTCAATTGGCACTTGAGAAGGTCGTGTTGGCTGTTCAGAGCACAGGGATCATCCAAGAGCTCTAACCAACAGCCTTGTTTCTTTTGTTTGGAACCTATATAATCTGACCCAAGGCTCGGGTTGTAGGGTTAGCTTTGTAGCTTCAACGCATAGTGATTCAACTAGCTTTTTGACGAAATAAACGTGGGTGGCTGGGAAGATGTTTGTTCTTCCGTTGGAAGTTTTGTAGCATTCAGACATGTTGAACTGTTGCTGCTCTCAGGTGCCAATGAGCTACGCATTGAGCACCAACAAGACTGGCGCACTCGGCGTAAGGCCAGTAGTTGCCCTCCAGACACCTGTCACCCAACATAGATCCCAGCTAGTTTACGGGAAGGCCCTTTCCATTGTCCTCAAAAGTATGGCCGTTTCCCAAAGCAGGGTCATGTTTGGCTCTAATAATCTGAGTTGATTAATTGTCTAAAACCTACTAGCTAGTAGGTTGGACGCCATTGCTATTAGGGTGGAGGACATCGCTAGTACGTTGGAGGCCATCGTCAGTAGCTTGGAGGCCATCGCTAGCAAGTTTGGTCTCTAGGAATCTGAGCTCATTCCTTTGTCACATTTTCTCACACCTCATCGCAATAGCTCTCGCCGCTTGGCCTACGCCGGCGTAGGCACAGCTCATGCGGCAGCAGGGGCAGATCCTTGAAGATGAGGCGCAGCAGTGTAGCCGCCATGGCAAGAATCTGCTGAGTCAAGGTTTTGGCCACGCTGACTGAGTCCAGGTTCGGTTGGTCTCGTGACGAAGTATCGGACCATTTTGGTAGGTTCTTATTGGATTCGCGGACCCTTTGCGCCTTTGCTGTTGAGTGCCAGCTAGGTATTTGAATCGGCTTTAGTCACTTTAGGATGATCACTAGTAAAACCCTTTCATGTTCTTTAATTGTTGTGTTTGTCTTGTGATGTCATTCTTTTAAACCGATTTATCCCAGGCACCCACTACAAGGACTAGGACAGACAGGGGTCAATTTTCGCGTGCCACCACAACCTCTTGATAGTAATCCTTTTGAATGACTATGTCTGGGGGAATTGCACACCTCTGCGCGGAGCTGAGAGTTCGCTGATGTTCGCTGCATGCAGATTCATGACTCTCCCGAAGAATAAACCAGGGCAACCGAACTATGAAGGAATATGAAATGAACGGGTTTTGTCCACCTGAGAGTTCCAAAGTGGACCTCCACGCTCCATGACTGGGATTTCAATGCAGGGTGCACTCTGCTTGCCTTTGACGCAGGCCTGGGAAGACTGCGGGTGTAGTCATCCACTAGCCGTGATGCAACGACTATATAGCCATGTTTAACTTCCCAAGACTTTGCATGCAACGACTTCAGAGTTCTTTGATCAGACAGGGGTTCATAGTGACGAGTACTCACTATGTTTGAGATTGCCATGTTCTGGCATAGAAAAGACCAGACTGGTGTTGTGATACCCGCAGTGTGCAGTTTAGCAAAGCATGAAACGGGACCTGGCAATGGTCACAAGGACCCTGGAAGCTACATTCATTGTATTTTTGGAACATTTTGGAACCCTTAAGTGCAACTACATGCAGCTACATTGGTGATGCTAGTACTACATAGTCAAACAGCAATTTGGAGACTTGGAGACCAACATCAGTGTTTGTGTTTTTTTCCCGAATGCGTAGCGAAGGGTTCTCGTTTAACTCTTGGGGGTCTGGGGGTAGAGCCTTGTTCGCGACCCGTTGCTTCTATGTTCGCAACCGTCCGCAACCGTTCGCAACCGTCCGCAACCGTCCGCAACCGTCCGCAGTAGGTCGCTAAGGCGCTGCCATTGGGGGAAGCTTTTGCAAGTGACTATGCATGGATGTGTCACGTGTTAGTTTGCGACGCGAGTCCATTGTGATTTGCGTGAAAAGGACATGTCGCGCAAGAAGCGTGATGCATTTCGCTGCACAGGCGCAGCGTTTTGTGAGATCCGCAGTTTGCTACGCAGTTCCATTGGGATTAGCGTTTGGAGAGTCGTGTCTTTGGGGTGTTGGATGTGGCCGTGCCATTGGGATTTGCGTTTCAGGGTGTGGCATCGAAGCTCTGTTTTCGTGACAAGTCTCAGCTGAAATGCCGATTTTGGACTCTGGGAGTGTGCTCAGAACGGGTCGAAATCATTCCAAACGTGTGGTGTGGTGCAAATTTTGTTGAAGCTCACATGAGATGACCTTGTTACTTTTCGTGGCAGGCGCAGGACTTTGTGCGGGTTTTGAGGTGTGGAAGTGGGATTTTCGTGGCAGGCACAGGGAATCGTGAGGTTGCGATGTGTGACGGAGGTGACATTTCGTGACAGGCGCAGTACTTTGTGCGCGTTAGACGTGTGGACGCGGAAAGATGCGTGGCCGGTGCAGGGAATCGGGAGGTTGTGAGTTGTGGTAGAGGTGAATGTCGCTGTCACATTGGGATTGGCGTTTGAGCGGGTGTCGTTTGGAGGGACTGGAATCGCGAAACTGCTTGGCAGGGTTGCATGATGTGTGTGCTCTGATGGGTGCTGCCGCTGGACTTTTGGAGGAAGTCTCGTACGAAATCCTCGTTTGGCAGACTTTGACATGTGAGTTTTGGAGGAAGTCTCGTACGAAACGCTCGTTTTTGAGACTTGACGCATGACTTTTGGAGGAAGTCTCGTACGAAGAGTGTCCTACAAGAGTATCCCACAAGAGTTTCCTACAAGAGTGTCCCACAAGAGTGTCCCACAAGAGTGTCCACAAAAGTGTCCCACAAGAGTGTCCCAAATGAGTGTCCCACAAGAGTGTCCCGTATGAGTGTCCCGTATGAGTGTCCCACAAGAGTGTCCCACAAGAGTGTCCCACAAGTGTGTCCCACAAGAGTGTCCGACAAGAGTGTCCCATAAGAGTGACCCACAAGAGTGTCCTACAAGAGTGTGCAACAAAAGTGTCCCGTAAGAGTGTCCCACAAGAGTGTCCTACAAGAGTGTCCCACAAGAGTGTCGTACAAGAGTGTCCCGTAAGAGTGTCTCACAAGAGTGTCCCACAAGAGTGTCCCGCAACCGTGTCCCACAAGAGTGTCTCACAAGAGTTAAGAGTCCCACAAGAGTGTCCTATAAGAGTGTCCCACAAGAGTGTCCCACAAAATTGCCCCACAAGAGTGTCTCACAAGAGTTAAGAGTCCCACAAGAGTGTCCTATAAGAGTGTCCCACAAGAGTGTCCCACAAAATTGCCCCACAAGAGTGTCCTATAAGAGTGTCCCACAAGAGTGTCTCACAAGAGTGTCCTACAAGAGTATCCCACAAGAGTTTCCGACAAGAGTGTCCCATAAGAGTGTCCTACAAGAGTATCCCACAAGAGTTTCCTACAAGAGTTTCTTACAAGAGTGTCCCACAAGAGTGTCCCACAAGAGTGTCCTACAAGAGTGTCCCAAATGAGTGTCCCACAGGAGTGTCCCACAAGAGTGTCCCGCAACAGTGTCCCGCAAGAGTGTCTCACAAGGGTGTCCCTTAAGAGTGTCCCACAAGAGTGTCCCACAAGAGTGTCCCGCAAGAGTGTCCCACATGAGTGTCCCACAGGAGTGTCCCACAAGAGTGTCCCGCAACAGTGTCCCGCAAGAGTGTCTCACAAGAGTGTCCCTTAAGAGTGTCCCACAAGAGTGTCCCGCAACAGTGTCCCACAAGAGTGTCCTACAAGAGTGTCCCACAAGAGTTTCCTACAAGAGTGTCCCACAAGAGTGTCCCACAAGAGTATCCCGCAAGAGTGTCCTACAGGAGTGTCCCACAAGAGTGTCCCACAAGAGTTTCCTACAAGAGTGTCCCACAAGAGTCTCCTACAAGAGTCTCCCACAAGAGTGTCCCACAAGAGTGTCCCGTATGACTGTCCCACAAGAGTGTCCCACAAGTGTGTCCCACAAGAGTGTCCGACAAGAGTGTCCCACAAGAGTGACCCACAAGAGTGTCCTACAAGAGTGTGCAACAAGAGTGTCCCGTAAGAGTGTCCCACAAGAGTGTCCCGCAACAGTGTCCTACAAGAGTGTCCTACAAGAGTGTCCCACAAGAGCTTCCTACAAGAGTGTCCCACAAGAGTGTCCCACAAGAGTGTCCCACAAGAGTGTCCTACAAGAGTGTCCCACAAGAGTTTCCTACTAGAGTGTGCCACAAGAGTGTTCCACAAGAGTGTCCCACAAGAGCGTCCCACAAGAGTGTCCCGTAAGAGTGTCCCACAAGAGTTTCCTACAAGAGTGACCCACAAGAGTGTCCCACAAGAGTGTCCTACAAGAGTGTCATTTGGACATATGTAGCTTTTCGATCGTGTTTGCATTCGGGTTCGTGGGCTCCATCTTGTTTTGTGTTTATTTTAATATATAGTATTGATGATGTATTAGTAAGTTAGTGTTTGGATCTATGTTTCGATTGGACGCCGCGTCAGTTCAGCTGACGGCAGTGTATATTTCCTCTCAGAGTAGTCCACCCACCAAAGGTCCTCACCGGTCTCTTCCCAGTCCGGACCCATCTACGTGAAAGGCGCCAGATGGGTCCACTCAGGGAGAAGCCCCAAGTAGCTTCTTGTTCCTAGTAGTACGGCCAGGAGCCCCTAGTAGCGTCCTTGCTCCTAGTAGCGATGCCAGGAGCCCCTAGTATCTTCTTCCCAAGATTTGCATGGGGAACATTTGCCTCTCATCATGTTCACTGCAAAAATGTAGGCGAATCGGTAGACTCCTTTCAGACCAGCTCTGCCAGTTCCACAACGACGCAATCAACGAGTGTGGGGAAGGTGTGCTGAAGCACGATCTCAAAGAGGCTGGGTCCAGTACTCTGGAGTGATGAAAGAGTTGAAACCCATGTGTTTGGGACCTAGCCAGATCAAACTTCTGGGTCCAGCTTTCCTCAGGACTCCATTTTGAGCAGGGGAATATGACGTTCATTGAATTTTCCAGATTTTATTCAGAAGTACAAGTGGCCGTCCAGCTGTTTGCTTCTTGCTGTGTGACTGCGTGACAAGATTTTTTCTTGGAAACCAATCTAGAAAAGGTATCATTTGAGCTTGCACTTTTTGGTGTCTTGTTTGCATCGAAACGCAACAGAGATAAGTCCTGGAGCAGGTCCTGGAGATGCAGTATCACAACAGAGGTCAGTACTTCACTAGTGTCGAGGCCTGTTTGTTTGGGCTTGCGTGCAGATTCAAGCATTGGATATTCACAAAAGAGTGGTAAGTTGCAATAGAAGCTGGCTTTAATGAAGGCCACTAGCTGGAAGTTGGAAGTGATATAGATGTTCCACCCAGGAAGAGTTCTCACTCTATGTCTCAGGATGAGCGGCGCCGCGACTTTGGTATTGTGGAGTTTCCTTTCGTGCTGACGCCCGTGTCGAAGGCAGGGTGGCGCAGGGCGGCGCTTGGCGTCGAGAAAAGTTGTTTTGCCTGAGCGGACAAGGCAGTTTGCGAAGAAAGCGCATGTTTGATCATTTTTGTACGTAGCCTATCGCCTCGTTTGATGTTCCTGGACCCATCAAATGGTGCTTGCAATGCAGCTGGATGCTAAGTGGAGTCCAAAGACAAACTTTCGCACTGCTGGCTCAGTATAGCTTTGCAGTTTGAAGTAAGGTATCACTCGGTTGTTTTGCCCAATGCCACCCCCGTAGAAGCCTCTGTGTACGCTGCCTCGCAGGTGCGGATGCTGAACATCGAGAGTTTATTGCTTCAGCGGGAAGAGGCCCACTTGGTGGCTGCGTGCAAGGGATAAGGACTCCAGAAAATTAAAAGGTGTGTCACCTAGGGAGTTTGTTCGAGATAGATGACCTGCCTGTTCATGGTCTTTTTGGGTCCACAAGAGCCAAGAGGTTCAAGAACCCAGAGGAGTAACTTGGGGTGTTGCTTAGATCAATATTATCCAGGTCGGTGTCGTCCTCCGACACTTGGGAGTCATGAACCATGTACTGCCACGAAGCACGAGGCCGGGTTGTCCCACTTTCTGCACGCCCCAAGTGGAATGCAGAGTACTAGCATGACCATTTGTTTTGCATTGAAGCAATTTCGACACATTGGCATATTTGCCAAACAGCTTCGCAGTGAACATGTGTTCTAGATGAGTTCCTGAGTGACATCACCAGATGTTGAGGAATGCTGTGTATGATGACGGCCATCCCCGGCCATCCCAATCCTCCTGAAAACCATTGACCATTTGATGGTCTCAGTTCAGATTATAAGTTCCCCTACTAGTAGTAATTCAGATTATACCCCGTCTCCAGAGTTCGATCCTTTTTCGTCGACATAAGACACGGCAGCTACGTGGCCGTTCCAACGGTCATGGCCGGCTTCGTGGCCGGCTCCAGATGCGCAGCAGTATGGCTTTGTCTGTCCGTTGGCCCAGTTGAACCATAGCTCAGCATGGGTACTGCTCAATCATCAGGTGCCTGAAAGGCAAGCCTCCAAAGGCAACCTTGCTCCTGGAAGCAGAGGGAGATGTTGACATTTCTGAACACTGTTTCTTCCACGACCATCGAGATGTCCTAGGGATCCAAGTTCCTTCTCAGAAGGTACTTGGTTTCCTAGGGTATGAACTGGAACTCCGTGTCAAGTGGACATCAGCTCTCGGGGATCAGCAGTTGTATATTCATTATGCGATGTCTATGCGATTTCTTTGCACATCGAGCGCTGCGCTCGACAGTGCTCCGCACTTCCACGCGGGTCCGGTGGGGACTGGCATTCGTTGCGGCCAAGGTCCTGCTGCGCTTTCAACTGAACCAGAACCCCTGGCTGGTCCTGAAGGCCATTGATTTAGCTTGTCCAAGGGTCAACATCCAGGAGGGCAAGACGGGACCGGTCCAGGACCTGAGTTTTGTTTGATTGAATGGTTTGCCCAATGAGGGTCGCAGAGGTTACTAACTGATCGACGTCACTGAAGAAAGGAAACAGATTGTACTACAATTATTGGGAACAAATGAATTCAATTGCATTCAAGCAGTGCCCTCATGTTCTTATTTTTACCATGGGTGTTCCTGGATGGTCCAAGATCCTGACTGGTTGTTCATTCCAAAGTGCCTGGTGGGAAGACCCCAGCCTGCCATCAGTTGAAAGCCACGGACTTTCAGTTCCGGCCAGATTCCTACAAATCTGATCACTAATAAATCACATCGTCAGCCACTCTTTGATTGATACAAGAGACAAAAAATTCCGAGCACTGAGAAGGTAAAGACACCGCTAAAACTCCAGCTTGAAACTCTAACACTACCCTCCACCCTCACCCTCAGGACCCTCAAGAATCGGAATGGGACGTCAAACCTTACGGGTGCAGACCAGTGAACAGCAGGTACGAAGGAGTACTATTGTCGAGGACGCCCTACAACAGCTGGCAGTCTTCGGTCGAGGGACCCGGTGCCATGGGGCCATGGGGGCAAGGATGGCCGTCCGCCGCGGAAATATATAACTAGCGATGGCCTCCAACCTAATAGCCATGGCCTGCAACCTACTACTTCTTGCAGCTCCAAATTTTTACATGATGGATGGGTACGAGGCTTGAGAAACCTGGCTGTTCGGGCAACTCGGGGTGGCGACTTCGCCCATGATTTGTACGTTGGACGTTTCACTCTAGGAAGCCGGTGCCATTTATCAGGGATGTTTGGCACGCGCAGAGAATGTCAACAAGAGACTGAGTTCAGATAACTGGAAGATCATGGGGCGAAAGGACCAGAGATGAAGGACAGAAGAGTACCATTAAGTTGGACTCTACACAAGCCCTGACTGCATCAGGGGTCTCGACATTGTCAGATCTATTTGCTTGGCTCGCAAGGCCTGGATATTGCTCAGACCTATCATGTTCATAGTCAAAGGTTAGTCGATTGAAATTCTAGTTGATGTAGACACACTATTCCAGAACCTCCCAAAGCATTGTTCTCGGGTGTTAAGATGTGTGAAGTATATATCATCAAGTTTGTTTGAGAAAACAGTCGCTGGATGTGTTGAGCGTGTCCTTTCGTATGGTTGTAAGATCTTGTGATCTTGTAGGTGTAAAATATTCTTTGGAGTGCTATGTATCCGATTGCGGGGCATCATAGTGGATAAAACTAAAACACTCACCGGTTCTTGCACTTGGATGCACTCAGAAATTCATGCTTGAGGCATAGTGACATATCCGTATCCCATTTTGTTAGCTAGGTTTGGGCATTTTGGGGTCACCGGTTTTCGAGTTGTTGCAACACCAAGGCCGGGATCAGTTGAAGAAGCCCTTGAAGGTGGTCTTCGATGGCGAGGAAGGCAAATGGAGATTGGGGGTGATGGAGGCACAGGAGGAGAAGAGAAGAGGTAGATTGATATGGACGGAGGGAAAGGCTGCGGATGTGATGCTGTAAATAGAAGATTCAAAAGTTTGACCATCCAAGCTTCTAGTATTCTTGCTGGAGAACGTCTTGCATTGGCATTGCCTGTTAGAATATGTTGGAATCACCGGTTTTCATCTTTGACGAGTCTAAAGGACAATCGCTTGCACGCACCAAGCAGCTCCAGAACTCCCACAAACCAAACATGTTGAAGTGACTCGGACAGATTGGCATGGCAAAGTGCAACCTCTTGTTTCGAAACAGTACAAAGCAAGTTGGTGTTAAATGTTTACATGATATGGTTTTATGCCACAGCCGAGCGTCCCACAGGTGTCGACGAGGGAGGTGTGCAGAAGGAGCCTCGACCAGGGCCGCGTGAAGAGAGGGGTCTTGGGAGCGGGATCTTCGGAGAGGAGCTATCTTGCTTGAAGAAGGCTTGAGAAAACATCTTAAGACGGGAGCCTTCCCTCAAGAACGCCCCCATCGTTCTTGGAAGAGAACAATTCTGAAGCCTTGGAGCTCTGGTGAAGTAGTGTGGGATTCGGAGGTGATACTAATTAGACTGGGTAAGTTGGGTGCATTGTACAATTGAGCATAGTGGCCGGTTTGAGCTCATGATGGACCGACCCTTCATCGAAAAAGCACAAGGTGTCCAACCAACAACTAAGTAGCTGCCCAACATTGCCAAAGGGATTTTGAGACAAGGATTTGCCCCATAGTCCATAGTGCATTATTTACTTCCCCAATTCTACACATGAATCAAGCAGCAAGTACCCGGTGCTTTGCAGAGGCCAACTGGTCTCAGATGCTCATCTTTGGCAAGTCAAACCTTCTTTGGTTGGGTGACCCCACTGGCCCAAGGGGTTGATTGTTTGTGTTAAAAAGTGTATGACTCTGGATCTGGGACTTCACAAGGAGCCATGTGGTAAAGTGCCAAAAAAGGAATTTGAACCACACCAGAATGAGTTGAATGGGTTGGCTGCCAAGGGATGGTGCTTATGAGCTGATAGTTGTTTCTGACTACCATTAAAGTGGAGTTGAACACCCCAGAGCCAGTTCTGTATGACCTAAAATGCTTTGCTTGATATCCTGCAAGTCCAGGCACGTTTGCAGCTCCAATTTGTTGGAATTGTACTGACTTGACTGTATATATATATATACTTGTTTAGATGTTGGAAATACATTACCGTGGCTTCAAGCTGGCTAACGAGGCCTAAATCATACCAGCACTTCTCAACAAGTCGCTGCCTGAAACTAGTAACTATGTAGAGTAGAGTATAATCGAGAAGAGTTTCTAGCATACAGTTCCTCAATAGGATTTTCCTTTTAGGTTCACTGCATCCCTTGCTTCGTGGACAATGGCTTTTTCAGCATGTGCTTTGTTTGCTTTGAATGGCACGGAAGGAGTTCTTTCAGCTGCTGGTGGAGCAGCTTTACAACGAGGCGGCGCCTGACCGTGCTTTAAAAAAAAAAAAACAAACACATCATTGAGAAAATGCTGCGTGTGTTTCGGCCGTAAAAAATAGACTCTTCTTCGGTTGAAGTTGCACGAGGACTTCGGGATGTTCGAGAGAATCGACGAGCATCTGGGCGAAGAAAATGGGTGCGAGAGAGTATACTGTAGCTGTTGGGAGTTGGGGATCCCTTCAGGCGAATGTTGATGTTCCCAGATTGGGAGTGACTCACCTCTAAGAAGATTGTTAACGTACATGTTCCAGTTCCCAGAATCAAGTCTGAAAGCACTTGGAAATTGAAAATACAGCAAATACGACAACTAAAGGCCGAAAAACGTGCCAAGTGCAAAAGGAAATCCACTTAAAAACTCTCAGGCAAATTGACCTCTTAGATGTTTTGTGCTCAACAGTGCCAAGGTCGAGTTGGACAACACCTGAATGCAAGAAAGAATATATGAGAAAATCTACAGACCGTTTGAGTAAGTAGCATTCTATGGTGATTATATGGCCACCCTTGTGAGTGATGGAATCGCAGAATGACCCCAGCTTAGTTGACAAGTACCCCAGCGCCATGTTTCGACATAATAGTATAGTCTTTATTGACCAGGCCATGAGGCAAATCCAGTGTCTCCAGGGTTCCGAAGCAGCTGAGGAGTCGGAACTTCTGGTTCAACAAGAACTCCTTTGAGGCGGGTGTGGATGCACAATCTCATGAGTGGTGATTGATATGGGCCTCAGCTTGAAATGTTCTTGGCTTTTGACCGAAGAGTCCTGAAGGATATTGTGAAGAGTTTTGCTTTGCCCTTGGAACGATCTCGTGGCCCTGTAAACGTGTTGACCGATAGGAACCGCCTGCAAATTTCATGTGATCTATCATGATCTATCATGATCTATCCAAATGCAGCCCAGATGTTTCTCCATTTTAGCCCATGTTTTTCCCTTGAACTCTTTGCTTCCCCTCAACTCCAATCGTGTGTTTCATGGAACAAACGAGTCCAACTTTCACGAGTCCTTTTCAATTTCTTGGAAACCAACTGCAAATCTGTGCAGTTTCAGGTGAATCTTCAATTCGAACTCTTTGGCACCGTACTTGGCCTGGCCATCTACAACCAGGCCAGGAGCTTTGGCGTGTTCTGACAGCTGGGCCACATTCTTCCGGGGATTTGGCACTCCACATCGAAGCATCTGACTTAAAACGGTATTCCAGTGGCCATGTTCTGGTGATCTCCGAGGGCCGAACACATGAACTGGCTAAGATTCAAGAGTTGGAAAGGCTATGGGTTTGAAGAAGTTGTGACTGCCTCGGATTTGTTGTTTTGTTTCTCCAAACGGCTACAAAGACTGTGTTGCCCGTTCAGGTGATTCTGGATGTGCATTTCCCCATGGCCGTGTACAAGGCACCGCATGGCGCACACTGCCGAGTGGACGGCTACTTAGAGTGCTTTGGAGTACTTTGTCTAATGCCCCCCCTCCCCACACACTTAGATTGATGCTCGCAAGAGCTAAATTAGTTAAGGCAATCCACTCTAGTGAATACAATACCGATCTAGAGCGCTGGAACCTGAACCTGTCAACGGCCATGTGCAGAACGGTAAGGTGAGAAGGTCAGCCTAAACAGTATGGTTTAAACCATTCAGGGGACATCTGCAGGTACGTGACTCTGGCGTCCCAGAGTCATTTCACAGGAAATCCATGGTGTCTTCGTTGGATGCCGACCATGGAAATCCCCGGCATCCCCCTGCCTCTAAGTGGAAAATACTTCAGAGCTCGAATTATCTTGCACGGAGAAGTGTTCTTTGGTACAGGTGTGGACACACACACAAAAAGCCGAGAATCGGCGCTCCCTTGATTGAAAGTTTACCTGATACCTAAAAAGCCTTTAGCAACGAACGAAAACCTGAAGAAGAGGAAAGAACCCTGAAAAGAAGGAAAGCAAGACCGTGCATGAATTACTCAGTGTGAGCCGTACAAGTGAATGCTTAGCACTTGACTAAAAGTGAACCTGAGACCTAAAAAGCCTCTAGAAAACGAAGGAAAACCTAAAAAGGGAAGAGCAACAGCAGGAAAGAAACAAACCAAAAAGGTAATTACTTAGCTGCAAGTATCTAACTACACATGACTTGGACATGAGAATACTTAGCCGCATGAGTATTTAGCCGTTAGCCGCATGAGCCATCCGTTCTGGAGTTTGATCTCAGTAAGGTGTGCGGCATAATATCAGCGTTTTCACGCATATCCGGGGATCAAGAATGGGTCACGGTGAGAGGATCAGGTGCAGGACGAAGGATCAGGAAGGGTCACCCTTAAGGGCATGTGCACATGCTGCGCCCCTGGTCGGGGATCACACCACAGACCTCAGTGGGACCCTGTGGTGACACACACTTAGATTGATGCTCGCAAGAGCTAAATCAGTTAAGGCAATCCACTCTAGTGAATACAATACCGATCTAGAGCGCTGGAACCTGAACCTGTCAACGGCCATGTGCAGAACGGTAAGGTGAGAAGGTCAGCCTAAACAGTATGGTTTAAACCATTGAGGAGACATCTGCAGGTACGTGACTCTGGCGTCCCAGAGTCATTTTACAGGAAATCCATGGTGTCTTCGTTGGATGCCGACCATGGAAATCCCCGGCATCCCCCTGCCTCTAAGTGGAAAATACTTCAGAGCTCGAATTATCTTGCATGGAGAAGTGTCCTTTGGTACAGGTGTGGAAACACACACTTAGATAAAGGCTCGCAAGAGCAGTATCAGTTGGTGAAGTTCCACTTTACAGAGCAGCGTGCCATGTGAATACTTAGCGGCGTGGCATGACATGCTCTGAAAGCAAAGTGAGCACAGAGTACTCTCTAAAACAATTGGACAAAGTGAATACTTAGCCGTCCTGCCTGGGCCCTATGATTACGTAGCGGCATGGCATGTCATTCTTTGGAAGGATGTGAACACTTAAAAAAAAATTGTTGAAAAAAACACAGATACGTTTGCACCCAGGTGGGGGGTGCCTTCATTGGCCGGAGACCCCCCACCTGGCTCCCGCCCCCTGCTCTGTACAACTTAAATTTCCTTGGAGACAGGAGTTGACACAGACAAAAGGCCGGAACGGCGCACCGTCTTTTTTCCCGCGGGAAGGGGAGGGGAGGGGTTGGGGGGGGAAAGTGTGGGCGTGCATTGACTAAACGAGCCTGGATGTCCACCTAACAAGCCTGAAAGAAAGAACAAGACAAACGAAAAAGGCAAGGAAAGAACAGAAAGGTGCAAGGGGTGCGGGGGTGTGGGCAGCGTGTGCGTTGACTAATCGAGCCTAAACGCCAACCTAACAAGCTTGAAGGAAAGCCCAAGCAAACGAAAAAAGCAAGGAACGAAAGGTGCCAGGGGTGTAGGGTGGGGGGTTGGGGGTCCAGGCCCGAAGGCGTTTGATGAGAAGCCGTAACCGGCGCACACTTGACAAAGTGAATACCTAGCCGTCCTGCCTGAGTCCTATGATTACTTAGCAGCATAGCATGTCATTCTTTGGAAGGATTGTCAGTGAGTCCTGCGGCATATGACCAGCAATCTCGAGCAAAACACTATAGCCGATGAAGTTCCAGTGCGCCCGTAAGGGTATGTGCACATGCGGCGCCCTTCGTTGGGGATCACACCACAGACCTCAGTGGGACCCAGTGGTGACACACACTTAGATAGAGGTATCAGTTGGTGAAGTTCCACTTTACTTAGCAGCATGTCATGTGAATACTTAGCGGCATGGCATGACATTCTCTGAAAGCAAAGTGAGCACAGAGTACTCTCTAAAACAATTGGACAAAGTGAATACTTAGCCGTCCTGCCAGGGTCCTATGATTACTTAGCGGCATGGCATGTCATTCTTTGGAAGGATGAGAACACGTATAAATTAAATTGTTGGAGAAACTCAGGTACGTTTGCACCCAGGTGGGCGGTGTCTTCATTGGCCGGAGACCCCCACCTGGCTCTGGCCCCCTGCTCTGTACAAGTTAAATTTCCTTGGAAACAGGAGTTGACACACACGCACACACAGACACATGTGTATGTTCGGGCAGTCAGTACCGAGAATCTCAGAGTGTTTCCATGATATCATAATTATCATAATTACAACAATTTTTGAACGATGGACAGGTTTTGTGATGGTTCCTTCATGCGTAGCCCGGAGAGCATGCAAATCCAGACCCTTTGCGACTAGCCGGGGTTGCTCCTTCATCTTCGGACTTTTATGTTTAATGTGATTGGCAGTAGAACCTTCATCCAGAAGATGTTGGGCACATTCATTCAGAATCACCTGGATCCTATTGGATCCTAGTTGGACTGAAACTGTGGGTTGATCCTTGCTAGCAAGGTACACTGACACGCAGACTTGCAAACACTTAATCAGGGCAAAATGGGAACCCCCCCTCAACAAAGCATCCTCTTTATTTGCAACCCCAGAACAAAATGATTTCGTTGCTATCCACAAATGTTTTGATCCAGAGAATGCATCATGTTTTGATTTGCATGCTGCATGCACCATTTTTCGACAAAGGACAGTTGCTAGTGGCCCCAGTGAAATTGACCCCTCGCTCAAGCCGTGGCTCCAGATGGCTCTATGACCCAAAGATCAAATCATGCAGTGGTTTGTTCCCTCCGTTGGTTTGGCCAGAAACTGATGCACGGGAGCTCGACCAAGCTGGGGCTACAGGATTTGCGCCTTGGTCAAACATTAGGTGCGTGAGATTTCCATGAGGCATGGGCTCAGCCTCAGGGTGAACATACCTCAGATACCAGACAACCGACCAGCCTGCAGGAATTTTGTTCACTTGATGTGGTCCGAGTGTGACAGCGAAACTGGTTTAAACTGTCTACCCATCCTCAGACATTACAGTAAATCTTTTCCGCATAGAGTCGGGCCTTTCTTTGCAAGAAACATGAATGTTTGGAGCCAGGGAATCCACTCAGCATGCCAGGCTTCATTCGTTTGTCTGTCAAGTGTCCTTGAAGTAGTTTTCATCCAAGGCTTGATTTCCAGCCCTCCTTGGCACAGGCTGGAGACCATGGGAAGGAGGGTGTTGTGGAAGGGTGGTGTGTTGATGTCCTAAGTGGATGCACAAGTTGTGCACATGACGAGTTGAGTTCAGGATAGTTCAGGTAGGAAGTACGATATGGTGAAAACCCGGGACAGTACAGGCATCGAGTCTTGTGGGTGAATAAAGATCCAAACATCCTGGCAAAATGACGCTCTTCATATTTCTGGCAACATTTTTAGATTTTTTAGCCTGCACCATTACAGTAGCTTGGAATTGCTATGAATTGCCCGAGTTGAAGAATGCATGTTTGAATCTGCCACGCACCACCCAGAACGGAACTGCAACATCTTGCAAGCTGCATCAGCTGCGGTCCCATGCTTTCTTGGATACGGGGCCAAGATCGCAAAGCTCAGTATGGCTGGGATCCAACCATGCCTGCAAATGTTGTCTTTCCCAGATATACTTGTCATCTCTAGGTCATCATGCATGTTGTAAAGCTTTATTGTAATACCTCATCATTGTAAAGTTCATGCATTTCTCATCATGTCTCACTGGAAGCATACCACCATGTCCTGTACCACATCTTATGGCACGCCATCTCCACATTATGAAATGTTGCAAAACCTTCCACTTTCCCTGTGTGTTTCAATGTGTTCTTCCACCACCACTTCCCCTCCAGACTCACCTCACGATGCAGGATATGCACTTCCCTTCCCAAACGATACCCCTCAGCACCTTCACGGGCGGATTTATACAGGGGAACTCACCGAAAAGACCTAGTGGCGGATTTATACTAGCTTGGAGTGTCCGCGGTGAGTCATTGCACCGCGGACACTCCCTCACTGAATGTTCACACCAAATGCGTGACGAAGGCCTGTTCGATGCGGGCATTCTAACTGAGGGATCACTAAAAATAGAATGAATTGCAGAGGTGAGTTGCTTGTTGTATCATGTTGTATCTCATGGAAAGGTTATCAATCGTTCTCACATGTTTCTCACCATTTTGTCCATGGTGAAGAGGCCCATCAACCGCCCCGTTCCAAATCGAGATCCGAGTCGGACCGAGAATCCCCCTTGGCTCAGGGTCTCATCGGTCTCCTCGAGCATGAGGATGCTGGCAGCTTTCAAGAGGCTAGAGTTGTAGTCTTTGGAGGGATTTTCCAACCGGCCCTTTCCTGATTGTGAGTAGACATCCTTAGGCCTTGGCACTTTCTAGATTTTTCTATATAGGAGTTCTATGATGGTTTTCAAGTGGGTCGGAATGATGAGTTTCAGTATGCAATTTCGATCCACCCAAACTGACCACTTAAATGATCCTGACCAGACCAGTCGCTTTCCACGGCCAAAAGTGGATACTGCATGTTTCTCAATACCATTGCATCACCTTTTCTTTCAAAAGTTTTGTTGCTTGTCAAAAGTCTTGGACACCCTGCATGGCATTGTACCCTCTTTCCCAGACTATCAATGTTAAATTCTTAATGTTGACCCATCCGAATGGCATGATTTCCTGACAGCTTTCCTGACTTATGATGGCCCAACGCACATCGCAGACGTTTGGTCCTTTACGCTTCGTGGTGGAATACGAGTGTTTCGGCGCTGTTCAGGAGGCCGGGGGCCATCGAGTCGTTGTTGATGTATGTTGATGTTCTCCGGCAGAGAGTGACGTGACCAGCTTAAGGAACACTTATTATATAGATGGCCTCCAACCTACTAGCGATGTCCTCCACCCTAGTAGCGATGGCCTCCAACCTACTAGCGATGGCCTCCAAACTACTGCTTTCTAAAAAGATTTGAGGAATTGTGTCTGGAGTTCTGAGCTTTCTACGCTTCAGGTTGCCACTTGCTGTTGCATGAGTTTGCATTGTCCACTGAGTGATGCCATATTGATTTTTACATCCCACAGCCCATTATATACTTACTCTCACTAACTTCTTGAGGGTTATCACTTCACCCACCCAGGTGACTGCCTATGCTGGAAGATACTGGAAGACAGAGCGTTGCATTTGTTTGTGGCGCTTTTTGTTGCTGCACGTGCTGACTGAGGCTGAGTTGAAAGAGGGCGGGAAGGACATCGAAGTGACCTTTGAGAACCGTGAGGAGTATGTGCGCAGGTGCCTTGATGAGATCATCAATTTGACTAGGACTGGTCCTTATGATGGTGAGACAGGCGAGGCACAATCCAATGCCTGTCAGACAAATCAAAACTAGGTTTTGTGGATATTTTATGTAATAATTGAATATATTCACTAGTAACTAGTAATGTGTTACTTCCCTCCATACGTTTGTAAACAAGGGGTGCATGAGCTGTGCAAGCTTTGTGCGCAAGACTGAAGAGTCCGGTTGCACTACAGGCCACACTTGCCACATATGCGTCATGCATAGTATCAGACATGTTCTTCGTCATTTGTTTGATCCGTTTTTTTCTTTTAACTTGAGAAGAAAGACACGGCAAGTGGATAGTCAACCACTCTCAGGATGTCAATATTTTCTGTGAACACACCAAGACCCGCACTGCCTTGGGTTTCAGCGATTTGCTGGTGTTCCGGAGTGTCTCTCATGTTCAGATCAGAAGGGCGTGCAGTGCGGGGTTGTTCTGTGTGTTGTTAATATTGCAGAAAGTCGTCAAGACGCCTAGTACCCCTAGGCTAGAAATCACTGCTGCTACAACTAGCATTGCTCCTGTGATTATTGCAATGTCGCCATCCTCATCATTTGCTGAGAAATGCGGTTTGATCAATTGCAATCTCAAACGCTGCGTTCTTTGCCTCCGATCTGCAGATATTGCGACTACATCTTCAACACCTCAGTGGAGCGCCACTCGGTGCACATCGGGGAATACCGGTTGGTTCAGCACGGCACCATCGGAAGAGCAGCAAATAGACCATTTGGAATCCTCATGGTGTAGCAGTACCTGCACCTGTCCCCATTTGTGGATTAGGGCGGAGTGCTTCAAAACCAACAGGAAGATACTTCAAGACAACGGGAAACTACTGGGATCCCAAGCGGAATACTTTTTCTTGTTGGATCAACCATGACCAAGAAACCCTTACAGTTGTGCAAGCCTAGGTTTCTGATGGATATGCCCCTTGTCACTGTTTGGTTGGTCATGGCCATGTCTTGCTGCTCAATTTGTTTTCAAGAATTACTTGTACCACCAGAGATAGGATAGGTGATAGGTCTACCATCCACAACAGTTTACTTCTTACAGGTGACCAATGGTGACCAATGGTGACCAAGTTGCAGTGATTGACTTGCTCACCAGTTCCACCCCTCAGGTCAGTTCAATGCCTTCAGAAAAGGCTTTGATCAATGCATCAAAGACACACTCTTTAGGCGAGCCATCCGTGCGGTCCGCCCTCCGTTGAAGGGTAGTAGGTGAAGCCAGAGGATTTGATTCGAGCAAGGATATAGACCTTTGTTCGATTCATCAAGATTCCAGATGTATAGACCTTTGTTTGATTTGTAAATATTTTCAACAGGTGCTGCTTGAAACCACAGCTGGATGTCATGTTCTTTGGTATGATATGACCAGAGAATACCAGACATCTCTTGAAGTTCTGTTGCCCATTCAAGAGGCGCTTGATGACTTTCCCCTGGCCCACTGCCACTTGCTGGAGGGATCACCACATGCTGCATCCTCTCAAACTGAATTCGTGAGCAGTTGAGATGTCCATGTATTGCATTGGCTATGTTTCTTTGCCATGCCTCATCACCCACTGTCGATGTTTGTGCGAATTTACGCGGATTTCCTAATCCCGCTTGAGCCACTCAAAAACCTCCCTGTTCATGTTTAGTGGTGTGCTTGTCATATGAATGTTCCGCGTAAGCAAAACACTTGCTCCGCGTAAGCTGAAGCTTTTCTGCACCACTTTTGGTTCACTCAGGACATATATAGTATCAACAGCAGACCTTTCAGAATTCCAGCTTGACATGTTCCATCTGACGGTTTTGCATGGCGTGTTTCTGACAAGCTGTACATGTCCAGAACAAGCAGAAGTTTGGGGGGTTTGGTGTCGGAAATCCGCGTAAGCTCTGCGTAAGCCGCGCGTAAGCTTATGTTGCCGCTGAAGAGTAGCGCACGATGCCTCCAAAAAAGCCCTTTTCTGAACTGCAATGGCGCCAAAGACAACGCATTGTCCAAACCGTTTATGAACAGGTTGCTGCTCACTGCCCAGCTGTCCAGGATGTAACCGACCTATTAGATGCAGTCATTGCCAAGTGCCAGGCTTTTCTACCAGATCTGATATATCTGCTGGAAACGCGCTTTGTGCTCAGTTGTCGCGGTATGTCGCGGTGATGCTTCCCTTTCATCCTCATTTTCAACTTCGTGTAGTTGCCTCACTGCTTGTTTGTGTCCGCTTTGCTTGTAAAATGGATCGCGCGTAAGCTGCTTCTGTGGTCTAAGTGTTGCGTAAGCCCCTTCTTGCAAGAACTTGCGGCGTAAGCTGCCGTTGTGGTCGTGTAAGGACAGCGCAAGCAGCGGCGTAAGCAAATTCTTACGACATAGGCAGATGCCACACATTTTGAGAGCTGCTCACTTGTCGGTTAGAAAAACCTGGAAGACACTTGCTTTATCCCAACGAAGACCCCGCTGCCAGGCAGCTGTTTAGATATGACGAGCTGGAGCTCCTTATTTGCGGTCCGAGACTTAGGCGGCAGAATGCTTTGGTCTTTGCTAATCTTCATTTGATTGAAAGTTCTTTGCTGACTGGTATGGATGCTTATATTACAAACTATGCTGCCATACGACACTGTACATATTCCCCCTCTCCCCGCCAAGTGTGCTGATGAATCCAGATGTCCACTGGAGTTTGGGGATTAGTGCCTCCTTCTCTTGAATGGACAGCGTAGAAAACTACCCACAACGTCCCAGTGCAGACGGCAGACTCCAGAGATCTCCAGAGCTGGCACCCCAACTTCTGGCGTGCTTAACCTCCCACACTGGGAGTGATTTCCAAAAACTGTCATCTTCCAACATACCTTCATGATACATCATGATACTGCTGGAAGAATGCTGCTCCACCTGGACCCTCACAATGACACTGTACATCGTATGGTCCGGTGATCTTCACATGTCCAATCCAGCGCCGCTCCAAGGCTCCAAGGAGTTAGACTTCCGAGCGTTGGAGACCGCAGCAACTTACCAGGAGCAGCGGCTGCGGAGCGGCTGCGGAGTGGGCAGGTTTTCGGGTGTTTTGCCCTGGGGTAGTTGCAGCGACTGGTGAGAACCCCATGTCTCCAAGGCATCGACACAGTTCCCAAGACACCCGGACAAGCACTTGCACCGAGACTCTATCAGCTGCAAGATAGTCTACGTCAGGTGGAGCAATATCCATTTGCAAGCCATTTTGGTCTTCACCAGCGGTGTGGGTCTTGACCATATTCACCTGGCCTGCTTGCTGAATACCTACCTGCTCATACCGAAAAGGAAGGAATTCCGGCTTATTAACTTAGGTATCTTCCGTCTTTGGTACTCTTTAGTTTTTGATGTCCACACACCTTCGTCCAGGATCGTCGGGGTCACACTTGGAATCTCTCGGTCCAGGGAGCCACGAGCAGTTTCATAGTAGCTTCTTGCTCCTAGTAGCGATGCACTTGTTACTACTAGCGATGCACTTGTTACTACTAGTAAGGCACTTGTTTCTGAGCACGCGAGGACGGTTATACCTCCACCTCAGACCCTGTGAGATGGTTCTGGGAGGCACGGGTGGTAGGTGCTGGGATCTTGGTGGGGACTCACGCCCTTCTCCAGCTGAGATCAAAGCCACAACTAGCTTACCTTAAATTGACAATTTAAAGAGAGGTGAGGAAAGAGAGAGGTGATGAAAGAGGCTGAAAAAGGTGGTCGTGGAAGAGTCAACTCGACCCAGTCCACGCACACATGTTGACTATTCAACTTTTAGGAGGTGTAAGTTTGGCTGAATTCAAGCTAAACTGAGTGAACATCTCTTGTCGCAGCTGTATCGACTAGTAATTGTGTAGTTACTGGGTTTCTTCATCAAAGCAGAGTGGGCCAATTGCTCACACGGAAATGCATGACAGCAATTAGGCATGCTCATCCGAGCCATGTCGAGACACCTGGAAAGCCTCAGTGTACTCTTTCTTTTACAAAGGCCCTGAACAAAAGACAACTATTCAATGACTCGCTGGAATGCCACACAGCTGCACCACATAGCTTCACAGAGGTTTGGCACTTGCATTGATGGCCGGGAGTATGAAATTCAGCGGTCACAACATATTGATGTTTGAACATCATATTGTGTGCCTCGGATTCAAACACCCATAAAATACCCTCAAATCTCAAACTTGTTTTGCATGCCATGTCCAAGGCCTTGCAAGATACTTGCATTTATTCAAAATCAGGCGAGGTTGCTTCCAAGGTAACTCTGTGTCCGCCAATTAATTACATTCAGTTACTCTAGACTTACCCAGCCTTCCCACAGTTTTCTGGCGAACTGGAGGTATGACAATAAAGCAAACCTGGCTGTAATAGTTCAAGACAGACTGCAAAATGTATTTAAAAAAAACGAAGCATGTCCGTCTTGAGCCCGACTTTTTCCTTTCGCGCATGCTGAGCCTGGTTAGGCTCTCGGTACAAGCTTCACATGCACAGCACCACTTCAGCCAAAATAGTCAGGCTGCACACAATCATGGTCCTTCAAATTTCCAGCTGCGTGCACCTCCTGCAACTCAGCTGGCAATTCACTCAGCTTCTGTGGGTTCAAATGCCACACAAACATGTGAAACGCAGCAAGCAGCTATTGCATCGTTCAAGGCCGGTGGGTAGATTTTTGGCACGCGCTGTTCTAAAGGCCGATGAGTCCAACGTGTGCTCCGGGACCATGATGACACAGTCCACGCAGGCCACGTTGTAGTGCCAGTTCGCGGAACAAGTAAAAATTGCATCCTTGCCAAAAGGCGCAGTGCTTGATGCCATGTGCGCCAAAGATGCACTGGTCAAATGGCACCACTCCCACTGCCCCGCTTGAGCCCTACTAGCTGCTAGTTTATAAAGAAAGACATAGCTTGCCTGAAAGACTGCGGTGATTCGGCTAGGTTTAAAAATTCTTGCTCAGTGAAGCCCGGCCCCAAAGCCTGAGGTGGTACATGACTTGAATCCTGAAGAAAAGAGATCATTGCTTCAGTGCGCCGCCCCAGTATAGCGCTCTCGTTTCATTGGGCAGCATCGTGGTAAGTACCTCCCCAGGTGAAAAGAAGGACAACGGATTGTGGTTGGTGACGGTACATCCTTTAGGTAATCATAGTGCAGCTTCCAAGGGAAGCAGAAACATCTGCCAAAAGAATGGAAGGAAGAAAGGCGGGAAATTCACGGTGGAGTCTAGGTACCAAGCAAAAGAGATCACATGAATAAACATGAATCCACACAAAAGGAAAGAATAAAAACATAGGACGGTGTTGGTGACCCCTAAACATCCCCCTCAACCTGAGCTTCAGTGACGTTGGCCATGGCTCATGTCATTGTAGATCTCAAGTACCTGGTTGCTCGATTCCTTCGAGATGTTTTGCACCCGTTTCAGGTTACTGCCAAGTTGGATTGCTTGGAATCCAAATGACGTGTTGTTATTCCCACGTGTCGTTTCTGCCAACCGCAGGGCTCATGGTCTGAGGTTCTGTACTGGCTGCGATCGCGCACCAGTGGGCGGCCTGGGCCACTTGACGATTTGTGCAGAGGGGCGACTTCTTGGGGCAGGTTAGAAAGCTACTAGAAGCAAGAAGCTACTAGGTGGAGGCCATCGCTACTAGTAACTGTTTGTGATACAGGAGTTGTTGGCTGTCCATCTTCCGGCCTTTCAGTTCCCTGAAGAATTGACCATAACAAGCAGCTGGTGACAGAGGAGATGGGAAGGGTAGGGACGATAGAGATGGAGACTGTCTTGTTCACATGAGGATTCCAATGACTTGCAGGCGTGCTGATGAAAAACTTATATTTAGCTTCCACGTGAGGGCCGATCTCACAAGGTAAATGTTTGATTGTTCCTCCATGTAGCGATGCCCTTGCTCCATGTAGCCATGCCTTTTGTTACTCGTAGCTTCTTGCTTCTTGTTACTAGGAACAAACTATTAGCATTGGTGTTATTGATTATGTGGCCAACATATGCATGGAAGCCAGCGAACCCATGAAAGCTCAACGAAAACGGATGAAGATCCAAGTAGCATCAAAGTGTAACGATTTCTATACAAAGATCGAAGAATTTGCCATTACATAACATTACATTATTAGATATAATAGTGTTTTCATGTATGTGTTCATAATATGACCTCCAAGTAAACTTTTTGAAGACGATTAGAAGTTCAAAAGATTTCCAAGGGCAGGACGTTCTCCCTGTTTGTTCATGGCATGGTTGAGCCCTCTTCATGATGTTGGGAATTTGGATGGACAATTTGTGCGGATGTTTATCTTGACAACTTAACATATCAAAAGGCTCAAGCAAAACTGAATTGCACATGTTGACAGACACAAACATCACAATGGTTATATATCCCAATCAGGACATTCAAATAGTAGGGGTGCGAATTGATTGCTAAATGCAGGTCCATCCTTTGCCTTGGGTCAGTAGGGGTGCGAATTGATTGCTAAATGCAGGTCCATCCTTTGCCTTGGGTCACTTCGACCTGCAACTTGTAGTTACAGTTTGCAGGAAAACACAAGAGTTCCAAGGCCCATCCTTGGATGGATCAACACGTTGCTACCTGGAACAGTGGAGATGGTGAATCACCTGGGATTCATGATGATTGGATATGATTGATGTCTATTAGGTTTCTTTTACACGTTCCCTTTTGGAGTCATCCCCCATGTTCACCCAACCAATTCAGAAGGTTTAGGCCCACAGCTTTGATCCAATAGCCCCCCAGCCGTGCCTCATCCTAGGCAGATTACCCTTCATACTCTCCAGAGCAGGCCGAAGATGGGTCAAGGTCTACTTTTTTCATGAGAAAAGTTCATATATGCCATGTATTGTCTCGATTCCTGTGTGCCATCAAAACATGAAACTGTATTAATAATATGATATAATATGGATTTCCTTTCGTGCATGGTCTCCATTGTGGGACATGAGGGCTAGCGGTTTTGACAGAATTTTCCTCTTGGTTCCAGTTGAGCAGTTTTTCTCGTCCAGGACAAGAATGGGGTTCGAACCTGGAGATTTGCAGAGATGATGAGATTGAAGGGAAACCGGTTCACTGGGGATATTTTTGGACTGTCACCACATTAGCAGTGACAATTCAAGAAATTCCCAGTACATCCGACTGGTAACCCATCTTCGAAAGGTCTTTGTCGAGATACTTGGCAGCTTGTTCAGGCTTGTTCCCTTGCCCTGCTATCCAGTTGAAATCACTTCCCGAAGGGGGAGGAAAATATACAGTACATACTCAACGGCCATGCACCAGCAACTGAAACACGCCCCCATACATCCAACATACCGTTTCCTTTCCTCAACTAACATGGCCTATCAGGTACGCTCAACAACTGCAAGAGGGGATGGTTTGGGAGTTTCTTTATGGGAGGGTGACCCAAATGGCCGTGGACGGACCAAATGCTTCTTCCCCGGAGACACCTTTCTTCGGACAGCGATGGGATCGTGAGGTCCGGACAGCGATGTGTTGCCCACCGTCGCTCGCCGAGAGACGAGACGTGGATCGTTGGAGGATTTCACTGGGATATGCCCCCAAAGTGTATAAAGCAATGAGCGTAGAGGCCATCGCTAGTGTGGGAGGCCAGCGCTACTAGTTATATACTGTAGGGTGGAGGCTATCGCTAGCAGGTTGGAGGCCATCGCTGCAAGGGTGGAGGCCATCGCTACTAGGGTGGAGGCCATCGCTAGTATCAGTAGGTGGAGGCCATCTTCTCACCTTTTCCTTTTCTTCTGGAGGTCATGTCATGTGTCCCACAGTAAAACAGACTTGCACGTTCTTCAAAGTTTCGCACCAATGCTATGTTTTGCAGATGACGTCTCAGTTATTTTAATGCTTCAATTGTGTCGGGGATGCTATGGATAGTGCGAACAAAGGATCTCAACTTATTACGGTGGGATCTTTTGGACATGCATGGCCGCATGGCACTAGTCACTAGTGGTTTTCGTTGGAGCATCACTTTATCATGTGTTTCCCAAGAGTGTGTTGGTGCCTCGGGAGGCCTGAGCCAAAACTATCCAAAACCTCCATTTGATGCATGCTACCAAAAAAGGCCCTACTTGGATGTGGATGTGGCTCAAACCTGGAGACATGGAGACGGTATGAGACAGTGTGATTCTGTTCACATTTGATTTTGCTCTTGGGGGTTATGTTGGTACTGGTTGGTACTCTGTGACAATGATACGTGTTATTGGTTAGGAAATTGCAGCATGTTGCGGTGGCACGTTCAAGCTCAGGTTCACACCTGCTTCAACCACCTTCTCCTGCCGGACTACAAGTCCAAGGACCTGTGCAAGTCCAGAGGCAGACGAAGTTTCCGTGGACAAAGGTTCAGGATCTTGCTTTCCGCACGATTGGTTCCTGTATGTAAACGCAGTTTTAGGATGTTGACGGTATCCACTTACGTATCCGTATGAGGCACAGGTTTGGAGGAGTTCTCTCACTGAGAAGCTGCAGTCTAGAAAAAGGCTTGGTGCCGGGTCTGACTATTGACAAGCAACTGCAATGCTACAATATTGCCTAATAAGTTACTGTATTGCATAATATTGCTAGACTACTGATGTGGAAGAAACTGAGAAAGCCACGTGAGCTGGAAAGGGGACAATGAGACAATGTTTACAGTGCTGTTCTTTGGGCAGGGAGTTTCATGGTGTATACTTTTTCTTCCTCACTGTAGTACTTAGTATAGTAGGTGGCAAGTTGTACATCCTTACGAACCATACTCTCTACTCTGCTTGGGTTCCTGTCATATGGATTGCATCCAGAAGCAAATTCCAGACCCACAAAAGAATTCACATGTTTTACCACATTTTTTCACATGACTTTTGGGGGTTCGCTACTTGGGGTTCATAGTTCACCCCTTTCGGGTCAAGTGTAACACCTCCCGCTGGGGCAACCTGTGGCTCAGATGGAGTGGGGTGTCTAGCCAAAACATGGTCCAAAGCCGCGGCGGCCTATTCAGTATATAAGATCTTCGTGGGCAACCTTTTTGTGAGGTAAAGGCAAGATTGATATCAGGTCTAGCTGTCCGTCCACTCAGCACTTTGAGAACGATTCATGAAAGATATCCATCAACTCAACTCACCCACAGCCGCTGACATCATCTTCTATGTGGCTGATACAGGTCACTGATCCTTGCAGGCAAAATTTAAGAAGAACAGCTTTCAACCAACAGTGTTGCTGCGACAGTTTCCTATCTTGCACCGTGAGCTGCCGAACGTTTGCCATGGTCTCACTTTGGCGGGATGATGTGCAGGCAAGTGGGAGACTCCTTGAGCTGTTCTGTCGGAAGGTGAGAAATCTCAAGATTTCAACCTACCGAACGGTAAGCTTTGCGAACTTCTTGGGCCGAACTTCACACCTCAACTCTGACTTTTTTCAGCGAACCTTCCTGGAACTCCATGGAAAGTTTGCATGATATATCTTCTGGCATGGTATAATGTATATATGATGTATGATTATATTGAGCTATAAATATGACAAACTCTGTGGAATATGTGTTGGCATGAGGCTAGGTCAGGTAATTACAGCTACTGTATAGACAAGCATCATCATGGCCGACAAGGCTGCGTGAGTAAGGAGAAAGACGGACTGACAAGAAGGAATGAGGCGGAGGATCAGAAGGAGGAGGAGGAGGAGTGAACCTGGAGACCCTCAAGCGACAGGTGGGGAAAAAACCATTGGCCACTCACACCTCGAAAGAGAGACACCTGTGAGACGCGGCTGTGCCGATTCCTTACTGCGGCTCCAGCAGAGTGGCGCAATGAGCAGAGTGCGCGAGTGCGGAAGATGCTCGGCGTGGGTGCGGATACACTCGAAGTGGATAAGCGATGAAACCGTCGGACCATGGCCATTCACCGCCCCAACTTCGATGCGTTTGGTTTGTGTCAAATTGGGGTCTCACAGGATCCAGCAGAACAGGGTAATAAAGGGGAAGTCCAGCGGGAATCACCCAGGTCGGGTTTGGTTTTCTTTGAACAAAATTGCCATATTTCAATTGCACATGTGGAATCTCGCAGAAAACATGGTCCCTTCCATCTGACAACATGCAATGTTTGTCTTTTTGGGAGGTTGCCAGGAATTCTGAACTACTGTAAGTACATCGATCAATATTGCATGAAGAAAAACAACTTGAATTACTTTGTGTTTCATACCACTCATCCATGAATGACCAATAACGTGGGACTGTTCCATAGGGTGGCTTGTACTATAGTTTGTACAATGTTTTTGCTTACCAAGTGCTCAAGGGGTTATTGTGGTTGGGCTTAAGTTTGTGCTGAGAATGGCAAAGGGCTCTTTCTGGAATGCCGCTTCTGAAAGTTTAGCATGTCAAGATGTTTCTGTCTCGTCCTTCGTCGCGGGGATTCTGTGTCAGATCGGTTTGTTGGCAAGATTTAATCATTTAATCACCTCGCAGCAGATCCGTAGTTTTGGCAGGACGATGTGTGTGTGTGTGACGATGTGTGTGTGTGTGTCTGTGTTTGTGTGGGTAACTGTCCTTGAGAGGGTTGGTCTGGCTATATGGGCAGGAAGCTGCTTTGGTTTGGCTTGCCATCAAGTGAGGCGCCTAGTGGAGTTAGCTGTTGAAGTGGGGTATCCATATGTCCTGTTTGACTCGAGTGTGCATGTTAGTTAGAGGATGCTTGATATCGCTGGGAAAATCTTGAGCAGGCATCGTGACTCTAGCTGTTTAAAGCTCTCCGTGGTTTTGCCTTTGCAGTCCTCTAGTTCAATAATTCTGTTCTGTTTCTCTCTATTCGGGGCACCCAAGCCGACAAAAGACTCAGGTGATTTTACAAGCAAACCTGCGGATTTATTACGACTTCTCAAGGGCTTATCTTTGAAACCCAAGGTGCCTGTGATTGGTGCTATCTATTGTCAGCACTGCTGCAAACAAGACTCCGAAATGTGTGTGTGTGTGTGTCCATGTCTTGCTGCTAGTAACAAGGGCATCGCTACTAGTAGTTACAAGTTGTTACAAGCTACTAGTAGCAGGGGCATCTAGCAACAAGGGCATTACTACTAGTAGCTAGAAGCTACTTTGTAGCAAGGTGCCTTACTACTAGTAGCTTGTTACTACTAGTAAGGCACCTTGCTACTAGTTGCTAGAAGACTCCGAAATAAGGATCTTGTCAAAGTCTGTCACAGCCAAGGATCCTCTTCTACCTCGCTGCGCTCCTAACTGGCTTTTCTTTGTCTCGATCCTTTACACGGCCTTTGGAGCCTTGGATTGGACTGATCTCTAGTCTTTGTAGTCGCTAGTTCTAGTGAAAGCAGCGATCTCAAGACCATTTGACGCCTTTGCTTCATCAAATTGAGTAGGCGCCTACTTAATTAAGTAATTGGGAGTAAGCTCCTAGCTACTTAAGCTTCTAGTAGTAGGACGCAGAATAGCTCAAGCTTCTTCAAGGAAGCTTTTCCCGCCTGAGGGGGGGCTTCCCTGAAGAAGCGCTCGCGCTAATGATTTGGATCATAGATTTTGGGTGAAACTACGCATTGGGCATGAGTCATATATGTGCAGTTCAATAGCTTGATTGATGTTTTTGCTTGTATCCAATTGAATCATGAACAATGATGAACATACATATTGAAGTACTGTACTGCTGTTTATTCTATGAAGGCTTCCATGGAATCTGAGGAAGAAGCGTGGAAAGTGACGTTCATAGCATCCAAGATTGTGGGTAGCCTGGACTTGTGTTGGCAGATGCGTTGCTTTTTTTCAGAATCTCGCAGCACTGGCTTGGTTTTGGAATGCTCAAGGGTTCCCTAGATCTGTCACGGCCAGCTGAAAGCACCTGAATGCACAAAGCATGTCAGGAAATGTTGTCATGTGCGAAGCTGAAAAGTTCTTTTTTGCCAGTGTGCGAAGCAGCTGCGAAGCACCTGAAGCTATGATAAACTCGGCTTGAAATAAGCTACGCTTGTCATAATGATGCAGCCAATTCTCTGTACAAACCATTCGAAGTCTGGTATTTCCTTGACCTATGACATGACTCCCACAATGCCTTTTTTGGGGACTGTCCAAGATGTGGGTTACCAAGGGGACCCAAGGGACGAATATCATTGATTTTACCAATACAGTTGACTATAATTAATAGAAGATATAGACGCACCAAAAAGGTCAAAGTCGAGAGCGATGGGCCTTAGATGGCCTTGGATGGCCTTGTGGCACAAGCGCTTGGGAGAGCTTGCCTTTGCCCTGTTTCGACCACCCAGGTATGGTCACCTTCCTGGTGGCGGCTGTGCCCCTTGGCAGTGCTCAGATCGACCTTTTTGAGAGGTCGAAATCTTCTCCCCCAACCGGACAAGCAAGGAAATACTCAATACTCTAATTAAGAACGAGATCCAAATGAGCAAGGCCTAAAACCTCCCAAGATGAACTAAGTAAAGGCCTTGTCATATGGAACTTGTGCGTAAGGAAAAACCTGGAAAGCGTAAGGTTGCGTAAGGGAGCTGTGAGACATGCATGTTGCGTGAGCTTGCCATATGGTTGTGTTTTCATTAGTAGATTCTTAGCACACACCTTGTCAAGAAAGGAACTGCACGGACCATGAGAGCCCGCTCATGTGTTTGTCGCCCGCTCACCTGCAAAAAGGAGCCTTCGCGTAAGCATTTCCCTTGGGAGTAAGGTTCTCATTTGTGAAAATGCAGATGCGTAAGATTTGCGTAAGGTCTTCTTCAACATCTGTGGCGCGTAAGCTCACATTGTGGTCGCGTAAGAAAAGCGTTTTTGGCCCAGCTCAAATTAGAAAAAGACCGGTCATGGTATAAATGGTCAATCGTCGATCCGCTTCCCCAATGCAAGGATGGTGGCCCTCCATATTTCAGTTTGGTGCACATTACAGGCATGATGTCATTCACATGATCCAAGATGATATGAATGAATCCCTGGAATGGAAGACAGTCTCCAAGTAAAGCTGGGTCTATCAACCAGATCCCAAAGGCGGATTACTCACAGACTCCAGTCAGTTCGTTGAACTGGTTGCAACCTTTGATAACGAAGAGTTATGCAGTTTCCGGGAGCACCTCTCCATTTATCGCGGCTGTATGTTCATTTTGGAGGTTCTGCGCATGTTCTTGAGCAATTTATGTTGAGTAGCACACACGAACAACAGCATGTTTCTTTGTGACTACGGTTGAATGGCAAAGCAAAGCGGCTGTTTTTGTTGCTAATCCACAAGCAACATCGAAAGGTTCTCGGCAGATCGAGCCGCCGAGGATTCAGAGCTACTTGAAGCATTGGCCCAACCTGTTAGAGGTGATGACTTTTGTCCTCACCATCCTTTCAGTGGCCTTTGAGCTTGACAGCGAGGGAGAGGGAGGGGAAGTGGAAGGGACCAGAGGGAGGGCGGTCCCTCGTTCCTGCACACAAAATATCACTCGTTGTTGCGCTCTGCTCCATTTTGCGCACGCGCCATTGACCATTGCTCCTGCTACTACTATTACTATACTACCATAATCTACTATACTACTACCACCACCACCACCACCAATACGTCTACCACTACAACTATCACAACGACGACGACAACAACAACTACTACTACTACTGCTACTGCTACTGCTACTACTACTACTACTACTACTACTACTACTACTACTCCTCGTCGGTGAGACATTGCATGGCAGCCTTGAATACCCCTTACGAAAAAATAAAGCCAATGTTGCACTTGCCACAAGAGCTGAGCGTCCACAATTCTTCCAATGAACTTCATCGACGTTGGGTAAGGCCAACACCTTGGATTTAGATGTAGTGGTTATTAGAATCCTGGGTTTCCGTGCTAATTTTCCGGTCCTTGAGTAGATTATTGAATAGATAGGTTATAAGTATGGGTGTGTGTACTCATTAATGTGTACATTGTACATACAGTGTATATATGTTTTATATCTTCTGATTCCTTTCTCCCTAGTATGTTTGTCCTCCCAGCGAGATTGTCCCTCCAGCAGTCCGGTCTTTGATTTGTTTCATGCATAAATAAATGCATGCATGCATGCATGCATGCATACATACATACATACATACATACCGATTGTCATTACATACATACATACATACATACATACATACATACATACATACATACATACATACATACATACATACATACATACATACATACATACATACATAC